TGACTTTGCTGTTGGAGCTGTCTTGGGGAAGAGGCGAGATCAACACTTCCGGCCTATCTACTACGCCTCGAAGATCCTAAATGATTCCCAGGAGAACTACACCACCACAGAGAAGGAGCTGCTCGCGGTGGTGTTTGCCTTCGACAAATTTCGTCCTTATCTGGTCTTGTCCCATGTGACAATGTATACAGATCACTCTGCACTTTGATACCTGATGAGCAAGGCCGATGCCAAGCCTAGGCTCATACGATGGATCTTACTATTGTAGGAGTTTGACATCGAGATTCGGGACAAGAAGGGAGCGGAGAATGTTGCAGCAGCTCACCTCTCCCGGTTGGACGCACCTCCCGCGGACAACCTCGAGGAGGAGATCAACGACTCCTTCCCGGATGAGAGACTGATGATGATGTACCTGGTGGAGAGTGTCACCACTTGGTACTCCGATTTTTTGAACTATCTGGTGGGCCAGCGGCTGCCCAAGGGGATGACAACTCACGCCAAGAGGAAATTTTTCTCCAACCTGAAGCACTACTTCTAGGATGACCCTCATCTCTTCAGGATCGGAGCCGACGGGATCATCTGTCGCTGTGTCATGGAGAGTGAGATGGAGGGAATTCTATACCACTGTCATGAAGGACCTACTGGCGGTCACCACGGAGGAAACCGCACAGCGAGGAAGGTGCTACAGTCGGGCTTTTACTGGCCCACGCTCTTCAAGGACGCAGACGCCTTCGCACGCAAGTGCGACCGATGCCAGAGGTCAGGTAACATCTCTACCCGTGATGAGATGCCCCAGAACGTGTTTATAACTTGTGAGATTTTTTATGTCTGGGGTATCGACTTCATGGGCCCCTTCCCTCCGTCCTTTGGCAATACTTATATCCTAGTTGGCTTTGCCTACCAATGATGCTAGATGTGTTTGTGGTTTTCTGAAGCAGCTATTCTCCCGGTTCGGGACACCTAGAGCCATCATAAGCGATCGAGGCACCCATTTCCAGGGCCAGTTTGATAAGTTACTGTCTCGCTATGGTGTAACTCATAAGGTGTCCGTGGCCTATCACCCTCAAACAAGTGGCCAGGCCGAGCTGACGAACCGAGAGCTCCAGCGTATCTTGGAGAAGACGGTGGATCAATCGCTCAAGGATTGGTCCACCAAGCTCGATGATGCTCTATGGGCATAACGCACTGCCTACAAGACACCCATTGGTACTTCACCGTACCGGCTTGTCTATGGAAAGGCCTGCCATTTACCCGTGGAGCTACAGCACAAGGGCTTTTGGTCCCTTAATCTGCTTAACTTGGATGTTAGTGTTGCAGGTGTTGAGCGCAAAATGCAGATGCTGGAGCTGGAGGAGTGGCGTTATCATGCCTATGAGAATACCAAGCTGTACAAGGAGCGCACTAAGCGCCTGCACGATGCACGGTTGTGGGGTCCGAAGGAGTTCTAGGTTGGTGATCGAGTTCTCCTCTATAACTCTCGCCTGAAGCTCTTTCCCGGAAAACTCTATTCCCGGTGGTCTGGACCGTTCATGGTCACGCAGGTGTTCCTGTATGGCACGATTGAGATTGCCACCCCGCAGACTGAACCGTTTAAAGTGAATGGCCATCGTCTCAAGCTCTACTTGGGAGACAAGGTCGAACGTGCGGAGTTGGCAGTGGAACTCGCGGACCCTTAGTTCCGCCATGGGCGTCCAGCTAAAAGACGGTAAAGAAGCGCTTGTGGGGAGGCAACCCCACCACGATTTTCGTTTATTCCTTTTGTTTTGGGTCGGATTGTAAACTAGTTTGGTTTTGGGTTTGTTTTCTTTTGTTTTGAATGATGTACTATTGGGCTGACCATTGGACCTAACATATTGTGTTTGAGCTCTTCTATTCCCTTTAGATGTGCTTTGTCCCTGACTGGTCCCCTCTCCAGTCCGCTTCACTCAGACTGGTCCGCTTCCAGTCTCATGTAGTCCGTGCACACCGATAACATCGTTCCCCTTATCCTTCCCTCTTCCCCATTGAGGGCAATGTCGATCTTAAGTGTGGGGGGGATGTTTCTCTTTTGAATGCATTAGATCTGTTTGTGTGCTTGGAGCCAAGTCCACTGTCCAAATTTTTAAATTTGAGGGATCCAAGTACTTGTTACCTTGTAAATTGCCTGCTCAGTATGCTTTGAATTGACAGTCTCTATAGTAATGTGCAACCTAGGGAGGTAGTGTAGCACTATGGAAGATGTTGAGGTATAAGATTTTTCCTATCTAGCTCTCTGCTGTGCCAGTTGATTTTGTGAATTAGTGGAGCTAAGACCGTTGAATTCATGTGATACTGGTGACTCTATTTGGATTGTGTATGGACTCGTGTATCGAACAGTTGACCTCGTAAGCTGCTATATGATCTAGAAAATACTCTACCGACGATCGGGTTTGTTTATTGCTACAGTGGTTTGGAGAGTTGTATTGGTTTGAGTTAGGTTTGCTTGGGGACAAGCAAACGGTTAAGTGTGGGGGAGTTTGATAGACCGTTAATTACACATGTTTTTACCCCTATTCTTGAGTCGTTTGAGATATCGATTCTTGTGTTATAGGTCGTTTTCACGTTAGGTTGTTCTTGTTAGTGATATTTCAGGTCCTAGTACGTGAATGATGGTTTAGGAACGAGTTCGGGGTCGATTGGACGAAGATTGGACATTTGGCGGGAGGCTGATAGAGCCACACGGGCACGACTAAAACCTACACGGTCGTGTGGCCTGGCCGTATGGCATCAAATTGCACGGCCAAAGTCACACGGGCCGTGTAGGGGACCCCCTGTGGCCGTGTGGAAATTCCAGGGAACTCACACGGCCATCCTGGAATTCCACACGGCCGTGTGGGTCATGGCCGTGTAGGAAGCCTAAGGCACTTATCAAAACGCCGCGGTTTGCACATCTCACACGAGCAGCTGGGGATGTCACACGGTCGTGTGGCCTGGCCGTGTGAGTCGGGAATTTTTGGGTTTTTAACCCAATTTGCAGCAAAGGAGAAGGGGGTTCCGAGTTTTAGAGAGACAGAGCGATTCCTAGATAGAGAAAGCGACGAACCAGAGTTCCCAAGTGCCCTAGATTGATATTCATCACCATTGGAGCTCGGCTCACACTTGAAGAAGTGCCGATTGACGACCAGGAGCAGAAACCCATCCTTCACAGCATGATTTCTGCATCTGAGCTTGCTTTTGCTCCTCTCTCTCCATGGAGTAACTCCTTCATTCATCTGGGTATGGAGAACCCAAGATTTGTATGTTAGGTCTGATTGTATGAACCCAAGTACAGATTCTATGATTTGATTATATTCAATTGAGGTTTGATTTATTGAACGGCATGAATCCTGATCAAATTCCTATTGTTTCTGCTTTAACCTAGAAAGAGAATATCTGCCTAGGTTGATAGAGCACCCTTGATTGAAGGTGGTGAATTGGCGACTTTAGTCGAGGAGCCAATTCACTATTCTGTACCGAAGTTACTTCGGTAGTGGAGGTTTTGTTCGTTAGGGCCTCAATCTGTTTACTTCGGTGGAGGTTAGTCGCCCGCTGGAGACTCAGATTGAGAGGGTCTGGAGACCTTTAGTCGAGACTTCAGACTGTTTAAGAACCTCCCGCAGTATAACTATCATTAAAACTGAACTTGGTAAATTACAATCCGGCTTAACTGCAGTCTAGGGGGAACCATATCCGGGTGACCTCTCTCGACTTGAAAACAACAGTTTAATTGCTTGCTTGTTTGAACCTGCACTAAAATTTCACCGCTAAATAATAAGAATTTGCTGAGTAGTCATCCCATCTAGGACCCGGGTTGACATTAAAACCCAAAACCGCTATACTACGCTTTAGGAAGTGGTTACACTTGGCCATTTTCTAGAGTGACAGTAGGAACGAGTCAATAACCGAAACGATAAATACGGTTAGTGGTTAACTGATAACTGATAATTTATTATTGGTTCGGTTTTGGTTAGTGATATTTTGCTTATTGGGTTAACCGCAAACTGACCAATTGGTTATAAGAAAACCGATAACCATATACTGGTATAACTACATAGTTTTGGACATTTGGCTAAGTGAAAAGTTTCAAGATTCAAAACCAACAAAAGTTGCAATATCCAAACATCCCAATTCCCAACTATTGCAAACAACCCTCCACCAAGAGTCTCAAATGTGTTTAAGAGTCAGAACCCGAGAGTCACTTCTCTCTAACTCCTCTTTGCATTTGACAGAGCAAACTTCATACCTAGTGATCGTTTTCTCTTTGATTTTTGTGAATGATAATCTTGTGGTGCTTGTAGTTGATCTCTTGCAAATTGGATGAAAAAGTTTGATTAATTTTTATTTTATGCATTGGGAATTGAATTTAAATTACGAATTCATGATGAATATTGTATTGATTAATTTTTATTTTATGCATCGGGAATTCACGATGAATAATGTAGACATTTAGTTAAATTATTTTGAATGACTTGTATGATTATTCGTCTTTCATATTTAGTACTCTTCGTCATTCTTATGTTTGTGGATTTAAAATGATGTTAAATGACACTTGCTAAACTTAATTGGATGATGATTTGTGTACTACAAGTGGTTATTGCTTCGGTTTATTATATTTTGTGAAAGAAAATTGAAGTTATTGTTTGATATTTAGGTTGATTATGTATAACCGTAGTTGTTGGAAAGTATGCTAGTTGCTATTGGTTAACCGCGAAACTAACCGCTAACCGAACCGATAATAAAAGGTTAACCGATAAGGCTTATCTGTTCGGTTATCAGTATGGGTTTTTTGCTTATTGGTTAACCGCTAACCGCCATATCGGTTAGTGGTTAATCCAAAACAAACCGATTAGAACCCCTAAGTAAGAGCAGGCTTCTTCGAAGTTTTAATCATACTTGGTTGACAATGATCCCTAAAGTTGACAATGTTGAGGACGTGAGGCAAATCAGGCCAATAAGCTTATGCTAGTTTGTATATAAGATTATAACCAAAATCATGTATGAAAGACTAGCCTTGCTCTTACCGCAAATAATCTCCGAGGGACAAAATGCTTTCATCCACAAACGATAAATAGTGGAAAATGTCTTACTTGGGCATGATCTAATGCACTATTTGAAGCCCATCATTTCTTGCCCTTGGTTTTGTGACTTCGTACTAACTTTGAGCCTTTTGTTTGAAGCCTTTCAGGTATCCAATTCCTCATCCAATGCCTTACATTTGTAGACAAAAATACCTACTTTCTTGGGGTAGAAGCCTCTAGACTCGAATCTCATCCATGCTCCTCGAATTGAGCTCCAAAGTAGGCTTCATAAACACGTTTCTAGACAACCATTTTCTGGCAGTTTTCCTGTTTTGAGTGAGCAACTTTGAGACCTTGTAAAACAGCCTTAATGATTTCTTTTGGATCCGAAAAACATGCCATTTTGTAGATAAACTTCTTATCTTCAAAACAAGCTATCAAACTCGAATTTTCATCGAGCCAATTGAGAGAACCAAGCCTCCAAAGTAGGCTACCTGAAACTGTTCCAACACTTGGACCAAAATCAGAATTCTTCATGTGAGTTGAGATAGCTTCTTTTGCAAGTAATTGTGATTTGTGGATTGATCCAATTTGGATAATATCATCGGGGTTCTTTGCACCCACTCGTGGTCTCCTTCAAGGTGATCTCTATCCCCCTCTCTTATTTGTGCTTTGCACGGAGGGGTTCGCGACTCTTCTCTGGAAAGCCATTTCGGCGGGAAAATTAGAAGGGGTGAAAGTTTCACAGATTCTAGGTGTAGGGGCGGTGGGGTTTCAAGATAAATACCTAGGACTTGCCACATTGGTAGCCCAGTCAAAGATGGCTACATTTCATTTTTTGGAGGCAAATATGCTGGAGCGGCTTGAGGGGTGGAAGCAGAGGACACTTTCTTGGGCAGCTAAAGAGACTTTGATTAAATTGGTCGCTTTGGCTATGCCACTACATGTCATGTCTTACTTCAAACTTCCTTTCGCTGTTTTTTGACTCCTAGACAGACATGTGATCAGATTCTGGTGGGGTGTTGAAGGGGGCATTCCTGAATGCAGTGTCTGTCCTAGTAGAATATGAGTAGGAGTAAGCATGATGGAGGAATGAGATTTCGCCGTTTTGAACATTTTACTCAGGCACTATTGGCCAAGATTGGTTGGCACATCCTTAAAGAGCCCTAGTCGCTCCTTTCTAGGTTTACAAAGGAAAATTTCCCTGCAAGGACTTTCCTTGAGGCCACTGCTCGATGCCGACCTTCGTGAGGGTGGCAGAGCATCCTTTTTGGCCGAAAGTTACCGATCATGGGCCTACATTGGTAGGTTGGTAATGGAAGGCGAAATCCTCTACTTCCCTCTAGTTAGATCCATCGTTTACACCCTCATACCCCTAAGTATAATCCCCGAGTGTTACCTGAGGGTGACCTGAAGGTAGCGGAGGCGATTTGCTAGGGGGAGGGTCAGTGGTGTGGAATTAAACTTAGCCAGGGGTTTGACACAACAACTTGTCGTGTCGTCAAAGCAATGCCCCTTCCTCGTCATGATGTGGAGGATAGGTTTATCTGGCATGACACGTGTGATGAGGTATTCACGGTCAAATCGGCCTATCATCTTGCAGTCTTGTTGGATAAGTAGGAGGGGCGGTGGCGATCCTTGGCTAGTTGGATGGATAAGTCGAGTTGGATAACCTTGCGGAAGTCAAATATTCCACCCAAATTAAAAAATTTTGTTTGGCAAATCTTTCACTAGATCCTCACGATGATGGAAGCCCTTATTAAGAAGAAAGTCCAGGTGATGCCCAGGTGTCTGGTTTGTTGAGCAGAGTAAAAAACAATGGAGCATTTGTTTCTTGATTGCTTGGTGCCAAGGGCTCTCTAGGATCATTCAAGACTTGAGTATCTTGGTCAGGGTTTGCCTCGTCACACGTTTCCGCTTTTTCTTAAAAAGTTGATGTTATTGATACATCAACCTCAACTGTTTATGCCAGTTGTGGTGGTCCTCTGGGGGATCTGGCGCTCACGTAATTGGATTGTCTTTGTGGGCAAACAATTTGGGATCCCAGTGTTGATGCGGTTTCACCAGCAATACCAAGAGTGGATCACTTTGCCAATTGACCATACTCAGCGATTGGCCAGCCCACAAACTCAGTAAATGGGGGTAGGGGACCTGATGACTCGATATTTGCACATGTTTTCCCCTTTGTTTCTTGATCGTTTAAGCTTGCATTATTGCTTCTTTGGCCTATTTTACGCTAGGTTGTGTTCCTTTGTCACATTTCAGGCCCTAGCACATAAAGTGAAGCGTAGGCGCAAGTTTCAAGTCAATCGGAGATCATTTGGCAATTCGAGAGAAGAAACACGAGCATGACCTGAGGAATAATGGATTTCTACCTCATATAATGGAAAAATTATCATGGAAGTTTGTTATGAAAAGAAAGAGGACGAGACTACGAGCGTCTGGGTTCAAACGGCGACTGATTTGGAGTCCGGACGAGGGAGAAACAAAGCTTTGAACAGGAGCGGAGGAAGAATTACGGTCAGGAGAATTACGACCGTAATTTCCCCTCCCATGCCCGTATTTTCACTGTCGAGAGGAGTTTTGGGTGCGCTGAAACTTAACCAAAACGCGTGTTTTGGGAAAAATACGGGCATGGAAGAATTACGACTGTAATTCAGCCAGTAATTCGCCCAGAATCGGGTTTTTGAGGCAGATTCGAGCCAAAGGAAAGGGAGAGCTGGGTTTTTGGTTCCCAAACACCCAAGGGACGAACCCTAGAGAGAGAGAGCGACTTGGGAACATTCTTGGAGCTATTTTGGGGGATTTCTTCGCCATTGGAGCTCGGGAATCAAGCTTGGAGATGGAGATTGAAGATCTAGATCAGATTTCTGCAGTCTCTCTCTTCTCTATGGAGTAACTTCCCTTCACTTAGGTTTTGAGGAACCCTAGTTCCATGAGTTAGGATCTTTCTTGTATGAAATTTTGGATGCTATATTGTTTGATTATAATCGAATGATGCATGTTTATTGAGTCAATTGAAGTCTGATCAACTTTTCCTGATTTATGCTGCAACCTGAGATAGATAGAATCTTATTAGGTTGTTAGAGCCTCATCATTCGGTAGTAGGAGATTGGCTATACGAGAGTTAGCCAGTTTACTGCTTTGTACTGGAATCCAATTCCAGTAGTGGAGTTCTGTGCTTATTGCTTCAGCTTTCTATCCCGGTGAAGACTAGTCGTCTGTCGGGTAGTTAGACTGAGAGGGCTTGGTCAGCTTAAGAGATTCCAAGCTACCGTCGGATCTTCCGCAGTCTAATCAACAGTAAATCAACCCAGGGAAATTGCAATTGAACCTAACTAAGGAGCTAGGGGAACTCATTCCCGAGTGACTCTTACCTGCTCGAGAAAACCGAATAATTTCCTACTTTCTTTCTGCTTTTGCTTTTAAACAACAATCACTTACTTTAGTTGGCTAGATAACAGAGAATCACTGAGTAAGCAGTAATTTGATAGCATCGTATTTGCACGTGTTTTCACTCTGGTTTCCTGTCCATTTCAGCTTGAATTGATTGTTCTTTGGCCTATTTTACGCTAGGTTGTGTTGTTTTGTCGTATTTCAGGCCCTAGCACATAAAGTGAAGCATAGGCGCAAGTTTCAAGTCAATCGGAGATCATTTGGCAATTCGGGAGAAGAAACACGAGCATGACCTGAGGAATACTGGATTTCTACCTCATATAATGGACAAATTATCATGCAAGTTTGTTATGAAAAGAAAGAGGACGAGACTACGAGCGTCTGGGTTCAAACGGCGACTGATTTGGAGTCCGGACGAGGGAGAAACGAAGCTTTGAACAGGAGCGGAGGAAGAATTACTGTCAGGAGAATTACGACCGTAATTTCCCCTCCCATGCCCGTATTTTCACTGCCGAGAGGAGTTTTGGGTGCGCTGAAACTTAACCAAAACGCGTGTTTTGGGCAAAATACGGGCATGGAAGAATTACGACCGTAATTCAGCCAGTAATTCGCCCAGAATCGGGTTTTTGAGGCAGATTCGAGCCAAAAGAAAGGGAGAGCTGGGTTTTTGGTTCCCAAACACCCAAGGGACGAACCCTAGAGAGAGAGAGCGACTTGGGAACATTCTTGGAGCTATTTTGGGGGATTTCTTCGCCATTGGAGCTCGGGAATCAAGCTTGGAGATGGAGATTGAAGATCTAGATCAGATTTCTGCAGTCTCTCTCTTCTCTATGGAGTAACTTCCCTTCACTTAGGTTTTGAGGAACCCTAGTTGCATGAGTTAGGATCTTTCTTGTATGAAGTTTTGGATGCTATATTGTTTGATTATAATCGAATGATGCATGTTTATTGAGTCAATTGAAGTCTGATCAACTTTTCCTGATTTCTGCTGCAACCTCAGATAGATAGAATCTTATTAGGTTGTTAGAGCCTCATCATTCGGTAGTAGGAGATTGGCTATACGAGAGTTAGCCAGTTTACTGCTTTGTACTAGAATCCAATTCCAGTAGTGGAGTTCTGTGCTTATTGCTTCAGCTTTCTATCCCGGTGAAGACTAGTCGTCTGCCGGATAGTTAGACTGAGAGGGCTTGGTCAGCTTAAGAGATTCCAAGCTACTGTCGGATCTTCCGCAGTTTAATCAACAGTAAAACAACCAAAAGGAATTACAACTTGGACTTAATTGAGGAGCTAGGGGGAATCATACCTAAGTGAGTTCCCAAACTGTAATTAGTAGTTTTACTTAGTTTATTTAGTAGAGTAGTTTAGTTAATCAATCCTTAATCTAGTTTGCTAGATAATGAACTGAAGCTGAGTAATAGTAACTCTAGAGACCCGTGGATTCGATATTTATTACTTGTGCCACTATACTGCAGTCCCTTTCATTGGTTACACTTGGCCATTGTTAGGTGTTGTGTTTTAGCGTGTCAAGTTTTTGGCGCCGTTGCCGGGGACTTTCTAGATTATTAGGAAAGGCAGAAGTTTATTACTTTAGCATTTTTCTTTTCTTTTCCACCCTTGCTTTTCACTTGGGTGTTTTTTTGTTTTTGTTGGTGCAGATCTGAATCATGGATCCGCATGGCTTCTCCAACCAGTGGGGGTATCCACCACCATCCGAGTGGTATTACCCCGAGACTCCCTGGAGCAATCAAGGAGGAGAAGACTATGGATTCGGGTTCCAGTACCAACCCCCTTACTACGGAGAACAATCAGACCCCTGGGCATATCAAGAACAATCTCCTTATCAAGAAGAATTCCTCCCACAACAAGAAGGGCCATCAGATCTTGAGTTAGCCACAGCCTTCACGGGCCACTCTGCAGAGCCATGCTACACTTCACTGGAAGATCCGAACAAACAATTAAGGCTTCTCGTGGAGCAGTTTGCTCGAGACACTGAGAGATCATGCTCCAAGATGGATCTTCAAATCAATGCCCTTGCTGCTTCCGATCCCTCATTTCTCCATGATATGGAGGAGACTGTTCAGCGCTCAGCGAAGCAAACAGAGTGGGTGGAGCAAGTTTGCTCACATCTTGCTCAAGATCACCTTTCTGCTACCACGCGAAAAGAGGTGGAGGATGACAAAGGCTATGGGGATGTTGAGGAGCATACAGAAGTTATCATAGAGAACTCCCATGATAATCATGATCAGGAAAGTCCTCTGGTTGCAGATCACACAATTCCTTATTTCTGCTCTAACATGCTGGGCCCGAGCGAGGAGATGCAAGATGATCTCATTGAAGAAATTACATGGCGACTTGCTCTCCAATTTGTGCTAGAAGAAGAAGAGCAAGAAAGGGTGCAGAAAGAAGTTGTGGAGGATGACGAAAGTGAAGCAGGAGGAGTTCTTGATCATTTCCCAGGGGTGATACCACATGAAGAAGAAAGGGGGGTTGAAGAAGCAATTGGCGTCCAGGCTGAGAACGGAGTTAAGGTGGAAGAGGCCTGCACCGGCCATGAGTTTCAAGTGATATCCCCACCAAACTTTGAGGAACTGCTTAGCAAGGACCCATTTGCAGTGTCTCTTTGCCAGACCAAGGCCACATCAACATCGGTCCCTCTTGGTGGACGCGATGGTGGCCAATCGATGCTGTCATATCTGGTTTGGGGCAATGAGACGAGAGAAGAGAAGAAGAGGTCTCGAGGGTGGAGACTTCATCTGCATCAAGTACATGAGCCTTCAACACCTGCCACACCACATGCTCGTGAGTTGAGACTCCACCTCATCGACGAGAACCTCAACTTCAAGGAGGTTCTAGCATGGACCGAAACTTAGGAGCCATCGTCCGGCTCACGACGTGAAAGAAGCGCTTGTTGGGAGGCAACCCAACCAGTCGGTTTGCATTTCTTTCTCTATTTCTCCTCGGTTGAGTCAGTTTTGTTATTTGATTTTAGAGTCAATAACTCAACCTTTGTGAGATTTTGTGTGGTGTTTGTGGTCTGACCACTCTCTCCTCCTGGAATACACCGCTTGCCCCGTCCACCATCATTCACCCTGGATCTGGTAACTTCGTTCTACCCTCCTTATCTTTTCTCCATTGAGGACAATGTCGTGCTTAAGTGTGGGGGGATGTTCGATTATGTATGCGGGTGAATGTTTGGCTGTTTGTGTGCTTGGAGCCTAGTCCACTGTCCAAATTTTTAAATTTGAGGGCTCCAAGTACGTTTTTTCTTGCAAATTGCATGCTCAGTATGCTTTGAATTGACAGTCTCTATAGTAATGTGCAACCTAGGGAGGTAGTGTAGCACTATGGAGGATGTTGAAGTATAATATTTTTTCTATCTAGCTCTCTGCTGTGCCAGTTGATTTTGTGAATTAGTGGAGCTAAGACCGTTGAATTCATGTGGTAATGGTGACTCTGTTTGGATTGTGTTATGGCCTAGTGTATCGAACAGGGTGCTCGTGTGGAAAATGAAAAGCAGTTGGTCCTCCATGTCGAAATCATTAAATCTTAAACATGGGGTAAGCCCAACGTGTGCGGCACCGTTCATTGCACAAAATCGGGTTTTGGAAGAGATTTTAGTGATCCTTAGTGGGGTACTCCTACAAGGTGAAGCTAAGTTGTCTCTAGTACAAGTAAACCTTTCACCCGTTGAACGGTTTGCCTACTTGAGGATGTGTTTTTAAGGGCACGGATAGAGCTTCCGACCCCCCTTAATTTCATTGACCCTCCGCACGAGTTGAGGAAAAGGAGTTAAAAGAAGTACTCTGGCGAGCGCCAGATGTACAGAAATTGCTCTTGCTCGACTAATAAGGGTCGACCGTGCAAAAGACTGCAGTTGGAACCCCCGCCAAGTGAATGAAAAAGAAAAAAAAGTAAAATGAAAGTGAAAAAGGGGTTCCAACGGTGAAATGAAGTGAAAGAGCACCCCGGTACATCGAGTCCTTGGTTGTAAATGGTGTGAGTCCCTTTATCCATGAACTGACTGTCTTACTTCTACTTCTTCTCATGATCCTGGCTTGAGTCTAGTACTCGTATTGAGAGAGATAGGGAACGTCTTAGAAGACCAATTGACCTCGTAAGCTGCTATATTATCTAGGAAATCCTCTACCGACGATCGGGGTTGTTTGTTGCTATAGAGGTCTGGAGAGTTGCATTGGTTTGAGTCAGGTTTGCTTGGGGACAAGCAAACGGTTAAGTGTGGGGGGGTTTGATGACTCGATATTTGCACATGTTTTCCCCTTTGTTTCTTGATCGTTTAAGCTTGCATTATCGCTTCTTTGTCCTATTTTATGCTAGATGGTGTTCCTTTGTCACATTTCAGGCCCTAGCACATAAAGTGAAGCGTAGGCGCAAGTTTCAAGTCAATCGGAGATCATTTGGCAATTCGGGAGAAGAAACACGAGCATGACCTGAGGAATAATGGATTTCTACCTCATATAATGGACAAATTATCATGGAAGTTTGTTATTAAAAGAAAGAGGACGAGACTACGAGCGTCTGGGTTCAAACGGCGACTGATTTGGAGTCCGGACGAGAGAGAAACGAAGCTTTGAACAGGAGCGGAGGAAGAATTACGGTCAGGAGAATTACGACCGTAATTTCCCCTCCCATGCCCGTATTTTCACTTCCGAGAGGAGTTTTGGGTGCGCTGAAACTTAACCAAAACGCGTGTTTTGGGCAAAATACGGGCATGGAAGAATTACGACCGTAATTCAGCCCGTAATTGGCCCAGAATCGGGTTTTTGAGGCAGATTCGAGCCAAAGGAAAGGGAGAGCTGGGTTTTTGGTTCCCAAACACCCAAGGGACGAACCCTAGAGAGAGAGAGCGACTTGGGAACATTCTTGGAGCTATTTTGGGGGATTTCTTCGCCATTGGAGCTCGGGAGTCAAGCTTGGAGATGGAGATTGAAGATCTAGATCAGATTTCTGCAGTCTCTCTCTTCGCTATGGAGTAACTTCCCTTCACTTAGGTTTTGAGGAACCCTAGTTCCATGAGTTAGGATCTTTCTTGTATGAAGTTTTGGATGCTATATTGTTTGATTATAATCGAATGATGCATGTTTATTGAGTCAATTGAAGTCTGATCAACTTTTCCTGATTTCTGCTGCAACCTGAGATAGATAGAATCTTATTAGGTTGTTAGAGCCTCATCATTCGGTAGTAGGAGATTGGCTATACGAGAGTTAGCCAGTTTACTGCTTTGTACTGGAATCCAATTCCAGTAGTGGAGTTCTGTGCTTATTGCTTCAGCTTTCTATCCCGGTGAAGACTAGTCGTCTGCCGGATAGTTAGACTGAGAGGGCTTGGTCAGCTTAAGAGATTCCAAGCTACTGTCGGATCTTCCGCAGTTTAATCAACAGTAAAACAACCAAAAGGAATTACAACTTGGACCTAATTGAGGAGCTAGGGGGAATCATACCTAAGTGAGTTCCCATACTGTAATTAGTAGTTTTACTTAGTTTAGTTAGTAGAGTAGTTTAGTTAATCAATCCTTAATCTAGTTTGCTAGATAATGAACTGAAGCTGAGTAATAGTAACTCTAGAGACCCGTGGATTCGATATTTATTACTTGTGACACTATACTGCAGTCCCTTTCATTGGTTACACTTGGCCATTGTTAGGTGTTGTGTTTTAGCGTGTCAGGACCATAATTCAGTTGTGTGTATGTGGGATGGGGCAACTAAGCATGTGTTCCACTCGGCTGGGGGAATGGTTATCATGAACCTAGGACAGAGGGTTCTCTTGGCCAGGGGAATGCAGTTTTCTGTTATTGATGATCCTATGGTTATCGAGCTGCTCGTTCTCCGGGAGGCTATACTCCAGTGTCTGGCCAGCGGGTTCACTGAGAAGATTCTATGGAGATCCCAACAATACCGCAGTAGTTGAAACGACAGTGTTTAATAGAAAGCAATGTCGTGAGGACTACAATGTTGGTGTTGCGGTTGGAAAATGTGTGATTTTTATTCCTTACCGAAGAAGTAGAAGATTTGGCCAACCACCTTGAGCAATTCTAACAAAATCTCGTTCCGTCAAGTCTACAAAACATCGATTCCTTGCATTCTTAAAATTGGTTAAGAAGTATTCCACCGTTTCTCCTGGTTGTTGACGGATTCGTGCCAAGTCTTCCATTATTACTTCTATCTCAAAACGGTAGATTTGGGTAAGGAACATTTGTTCCATTTGCTGCCAAGTTTGAACAGAGTTTGATGGCAAGTAACCGTACCACGCGAATGCGGGACTGGTCAACAAATTGCCAAACAAACGTAATTTTAAGAAATCACTCACATCACTACATTGGACAGTAAATCATCCAATGTGTTTGATGGTTGACTCGACTCTACTGTCACTCCAGGAATTGGCCAAGTGAAACCACTTCCTAAAGCGTAGTATAGCGGGTTTGGGTTTAATTATCAACCCGGGTCCTAGATATGATGACTACTCAGTGAATTCGTGTTATCTAGCAATGAAACTGGAATGCAAGTCTAAACTATCAAACTAACAAAGCAGGTAAACGGTTGTATTCAGGTTAAGAGAGGTCACCCGGATATGGTTCCCCCTAGACTGCAGTTAAGCCGGATTGTAATTACCAAGTTCAGTTTCTATGAAGATTATACTGCGGAAGGTTCTTAAACAGCCTGAAGTCTCGACTAAAGGTCTTCAGACCCTCTCAATCTGAATCTCTAGCGGGCGACTAACCTCCACCGGAGTAGACAGATTGAGGCCCTAAAAACAAAACCTCCACTACCGGAGTAAATTCGGTACAGAATAGTGAGTTGGTTCCTCGACTAAAGTCACCAACTCCCTACCTTCAATCAAGGATACTCTATTAACCTAGGCAGATATTCTCATTCTAAGTTAAAGCAGAAACAACAGGAATTTGATCAGGATTCAAGTCATTCAATCATTAAAACCTCAATCGAATATAATCAATCACAGAATCAGTACTTGGGTTCATACAATCAAAGCCTAACACACAAATCTAGGGTTCTCCATACCCAGATGAATGGGAGAACTACTCCATAGAGAAGAAAGCAAAAGCAGAATCAGACACGGAATTCATACTGCGAAGGATGGATTCCTGCTTCTGGATGTTGATCGGCACTTCTCCAAGCTCAAGCTGGCCTCCAATGGTGTTGAAGATCAATCTAGGGCACTTGGGAACTCTTGCTCGTCACTTTCTCTCTCTAGGAATCACTCTCTTTCTCAAAAACCCGAATCCTCCCAAATTGTGGCTGAAATTCTGCTTAAAAGGAGAAAATCCCGACTCACACGGCCAGGGTGGCACGGGCGTGCGTGCAGCTCACCCAGTTGCCCGTGTGAGTCAAAACGCATCATTTCATTTAGTTCGAATTCCAGGCTCTTTGCACGGCCAGAATGGCACAGCCGTGTGGACATCCCCTCTTGCCCGTGTTTGCTCTCGCAGAATGTGGCACGGCCAACCCGGCCACTTGCACGGCCGTGTCGATCCTCTGCTCTGCCCGTGTGTGCTCTCGGCAAAACTCGCACGGCCAGGCCATTACTTCACACGATCGTGTGAATATCAGGGCAGCCCGTGTGACCTCCTTTGTGACTTGTCTCGCGCCCAATCTTCACCCAATCGACCCCGAACTCGCTCCTAAACCCTCATTCACTTGCCAGGACCTGAAATATCACAAACAAGCACAACCTAGCGTGAAATCGGTCTAAAACACGAGAAACCACCTCTCAAACGGTGTAAGAACAGGGGTGAAAACATGTGTAACTAACGGTCTATCAAACTCCCCCACACTTAACCGTTTGCTTGTCCCCAAGCAAACCTAACTCAAACCCATGCAACTCTCCAGACCTCTTTAGCAACAAACAACCCAGATCGTAGGTAGAGGACTTCCTAGATCATTTAGCAACTTACGAGGTCAACCGACGCACAAGTCATCTCATAACTTCTTCGGCGAGTCGGCATCATGGCAAATAGTGAACAGAGGACAAATGAATTGTGGATGAAGAGATTCTCAAAAACAACAGATCATGGACTCACATTTTTCAAGGTGCTCTATTTTCTGCTTAAGGATGGTTGGAACCCCTTTTCTTTCTGTTTTGCTTGTTTTCTGTTATTTTCTTTTCTTTTCTTTTCAAGAGTCCCAACCTGCTCTTACCGGCCATGCCAGGAGCGGATGTCTCGAGCCTCGTGCGGGGGAAAGACATGTAAGGGGGCTGGAGGTAGTAGGTGGAAATTGGGAACGAATTCCCGTCTCCCCTTACACACTTTCGCCCTATTCGCACGGGAGACGTTTATTTTGAAGCACATTTTCGAGCACCTGTTATTTTCAAAACATGATACAAGAGTCCATGACAGGCAGAGAATCCACAACACCACACAATTCAAGGGTCCTAAGATCACTAATTCACTCAATCAACCAACACAATATGAAGAAGAAATGAGACTTCTTAAATGCATCAACATCCTCCATAGTGCTACACTACCTCCCTAGGTTGCATATTACTATAAAGACTGTCAATTCAAAGCATACTGAGCAGGCAATTGCAAGGAACACGTACTTGGAGCCCTCAAATTTTAAAAAAATTTGGACAGTGGACTAGGCTCCAAGCACACAAACAGATCTAATGCAATCAAGAGATAAACATCCCCCCACACTTAAGATCGACATTGCCCTCAATGGAGAAGAGGGAAGGATAAGGGAAACAATGTTACCGGTATACACGGACTGCAGGAGACTGGAAACGGGCCAGTCGGGACAAGCACAGCCAAGGAAAACAGAAGAGCTCAACACAGTATGTTAGGTCCAATGGTCATCCCAATAAAACATCATCCAAACCAAAAGAAAAACAATCCAAACCCAAACCGGGTTACAATCCGACTCAAAATATAAGAAAGAAAATCAAACCGTGGTGGGGTTGCCTCCCCACAAGCGCTTCTTTATCGTCTTTTAGCTGGACGCCCATGGTGGATACTCAGGGCGGTGCAGGAACAGGTGCCTCCAAGAGCGGATCCACGTCGCTCTTGAGGTACAGCTTGCGGTTGTGGCCATGCACCCGACGGATGCGACCACCCTCATCAGTCAGCTCGACCTGCCCATCTGGCAAGATGCAGGCGAGTGAGTACCCGGACGGCCAGGGTGGTCGTGGTGCAGGAGGTGGGACCAGCTCATAGTGGTCTCCACTCTTCTTCCGTGCAGGCTTAGCAACCTGCTGCTTCGGCCGCCACTCCTCCTTGAGATTTTTGTTCGGAGGCGTGGCTGGATGGAGTGACGGCGAAGGAATGATAGGAGGGTCCTGCATAATAGGAGGTGCAGACGGGTACACGACAGACTCGTGTACCTGATCAGAAATGGCATTCACAGGCGTGACAGCAATCATAGCACAGTGATCAAACTCAGTCACAGAAAAAGTAGCCTGTTCATTCCCAGCACGCAGGATCAGTTTACCATCATGCACATCAATAAGTGCCTTGGCGGTGGCAAGAAATGGCCTACCTAGAATCAAAGGCACATCCACATCCTCATTTACATCCAGAATAACAAAATCAATAGGATATGTGAATGCACCAACATTAACAAGCAGATCCTCTATGACACCCCTAGGATGCACAATGGAACGATCAGCGAGCTGAATGCTCATCCTAGTAGGGCTAAGTTCACCTAAGTCTAGCTTCTTAAACAACTTATATGGCATGACGTTTATGCTAGCACCTAGGTCCGCCAAGGACTTGCCTACATGCATGCTGCCAATAGTAAGAGGGATAGTAAAACTCCCTGGATCCTTGCGCTTCTCGGGCAGCTTGTTCTGCAGGATAGCAGAACACTCCTCGCTCAGCATCACTGTCGAGAGATCCCCAAGTTTCTTCTTGTTGGTGCAGATATCTTTCATGAACTTGGCATACTTGGGCATCTTCGACAGTGCCTCCATGAACGGTATGCTGATATTGAGCTGCTTCAACATTTCCATGAACTTGGCAAACTCAGTCTCCAGCTTGTCCTTGTGTAGGCGAGTGGGGAAGGAAAGCTGGGGTACATGCTCCTTAACCACTGGTTGTGGCTTGGGAGCAGGGGCTTCTTTCTCCACCCGCACTTCTGCATCGTCGGCTGGAAGTGCTGAAGCAGGCAGTGGTTCCTCCTGTCTGGCCGGGACAGGATCAGCAGATATGGTCTTACCGCTCCTGGTAAAAATGGCATCCAGCTGCTGATGCTGGTGAGGATCTCGAGGATTCGGAACAGTGGTGGCAGGCAGAGTCCCCGGTGCCCTGGTAGTGTTTTGGCGGGCCAAGATGCCCACCTGGGTCTGCAGATCCTGCAAAATTGCACCCTGGTTCCTCTGACCTGCCTCCAGTGAGGCTACACTCTGGTCCAACCTCGTGATAGTCGCCTGAGTGCTCGTCATGAATGAAGCTAGAATGTTTTCCAGCTTTGTCATCCTGTCATCTGGGGCTGGAGCTGCTGCTGGCTCGGCAAACTGGCGCTGGGGCTGCTGGAATGGCTGCCCCTGCCTAGGCTGGTAGGGTTGCTGCTGTGGGTCTGGCCCCTGGCGAGCGTGGAAG